TTGTGACATAATTTCGGGAAAATATAGTTTTGTCATGATTTGCTTTAGCATGCAGATCACTATCCAGCATAGCATTGTTATATATATATATATTTTTAAATGCTTGTGGAAACAACAACCCTTGATCAGTGTGCACACACCAAGTATGGAAGAAGAGCTCGTGTGTGTGCTGAAGAAAAAGTATAAAAAAGAAGATGAGATGCATGGAGTAGAAATATTGATTGGAGAAATGTATGTCAACACTTTAATTACTAACATTTTTGGAAGCACAAGCATTTGGTTACTAAAATGGGAGCTGTACTAATATTAAGTAGTTATGGCACAGGCATTTCACTGTGTTACTGAAGATATAAAGAATCATATACAAAAATTCATGCACTAAACATAATTAAGTTATTGGACCGTAGTGTTTTGTAGCAGTAGTTAGATGCTAAATTTGCTTGGATGGGTTTGCAGCGGATTGCAAAAACAGATTGTTCACTTGTGTTTTACAGAAGTTGCAATTTCATATAGGTTCCAATGAAGCAATCCTCACTTATGAAACTTAGTTTTCTAGCACTAATGTACCACTGTGATAGTAGACTTGATTTGTTGAACTTATTTTTGTTTTAAAATGTACTGTTATCAGAATATACCTGATTTATAAAATTACATTAGTTTTTCTTTCATTGAGATTTTCAAGCGGCTTTTCATAAAGATCAAAAAGGAAATAGTCAAACTTTAGTTTAACTTTCAAAATTCCAAGCATAATAAAAGTTTTTAAGATCTGAACAAAAATGACGTTAAAGCAAATAACTCAAAAAACTAACTTTTAGATGGAGATAAATTCCAGTCTGACAGAACAAAATAGCATTAAAGTAGCTTGCTTAGGAAAAAGAAATAACATTAAAATATTTCAAATTTGTTATGCATCATTATATTAGTAAATCATATCTTGATTACTATATCATTTTTTTTTTTTTTTAATTATGATTTTTTCTTCACGTGCATTGCACGTGACCCTTTTCCTAGTAAGTAAATAAAAAATTGAAAGGGAATAAAACCAGATCTACCCCTTTTTAGGGGTTAACCAGTTCTGCTACAAGTCCAATACTCTTTCACTGCTTCAAACATTTTTGTGCACATTAAGGTATATGAACTCCATTGATCCTCACCATCAAGAACATCTCGCAACTGGCACCGACTCTGTATGTCGCCTGGTGATTGTGGAGCGGACAGAAGAGGCGGCAAAAATGCTCCCCATTTGCTTGAACTCAACTTACTGTGTTGTTATGTTCTGCAATATTTATTTCTAGAAATATGTAGTTATATAGCATCTGAAAATGGGATGAGAGAACTGATAGAGAATCATGGTTTGATTTTAGAGTGGCAAAGAGCTGGTTTGTGGTCTTCTCAGCCCTCTCTCTTGCCCCTTTATTTTTCTTCATGTATTCTTGCAAAAGGAATACCATGATTCCCTTGACGCTTGAGATGTGTTGTGACTTGTGAGTATTGAATCATCTACACCCGTGGCTGGAAAAAAATAAGTTATCCGTCTTCATTTCCGTTCATTTTTTAATTTCTTTATTTATAATTAAGGTATCATTGGACCAATTAGCGGCTGGGAGAGTCCCTCCTCATTTTTTAGGAGGCAAGTACTTTCTCTCTCACACACACACAGAGTTGCATCTTTGCATCCTCATGGTTTGTCATGTAGTTTCTGGTGTTTCCATCAGGTTGTATTGAGAGAGCTATGGAGGTGGTCAATGGCGATCCTTTTAGTGTTGACCTTCTAATTGAGATCCTACTATGACTACCATTGAAAGATTTATTTGCTTTCAAGATCGTTTCAAAAAGGTGGTATAAGATTATTTCAAGTCCTTATTTTCGACAACTCTATCAATTTCAGAGGAAGGAACAAGATGTTTCTCTTTCCGCTCTGTTAGGCTTCTTCCAATCAGGAGAGCATGATTCATTTATACCTTCCAGTCCAGAGTTGTCTAATTATGGGGTTGTTCATTTCAAATTGTATCGTGATATAATGATTGGTTCTTCCAATGGCTTGTTGCTCTACTATAACCACTTTTTCATGGTTTACCGCATATACAATCCTATCACGAGGGAATGGCTTTCCCTTTCTCCATCACGCAGGGATTGGGACCATCTCAACAATGCAATTGGATTTGACGTTGAAGGAATTTCTCACCCAAATTGCAAATTGGAAAATTTCAAGTTCAAGCTGGTGTGCATTATGTTATCAAGTTTAACATGTCCTAGTACGAACCTGCAAATGGAGGTTTTTTCTTCAGAAAATGAATATACAGTCGTAGCATCAACAAGATGCATTTTGTTGAGACGTTTGGAGTATGCTGTGGTAATTAATGGGGTATACTACTGGCAGGAGTGCCTGAATCGTGTTGTCACCTATGATTCTAATGGTAGTCAAGAAATGGTGGATAACATTATAGAAGTTCTTCAATTGCCAGAACAAAACACTGTCCATTTATTTTGGGCGAGTCCAAGGATGGGCTACTACAGTATGGGACTAGTGATAGCTTCAAAATTGTAATCTGGGTTCTTGATGGCATCGGTGAATACAAGTGGATTTTGAGACACACGGAAAGTTTTATGTTCATGTACCATCAATACCCGGACATTATGAGCTCTTGTGATCTCATTTTGAGTCAAGAAGCTCTTCGGAATGAAAGGAATGCTAATGTTCCAGAGCTAGTGGCCTTGCATCCACTGAATCCCAATATTGTTTTTATTTGGCTAGACAAGATTATCCTTTGCTATTGTTTTTATAGTGGGAGTTTAAAGATAGTTCAACTTCATGTCAACATCATGCTAGAAGAAAGGAGATTGCCATATCTGCAGTTGGAGAGGTGTAAGAGATTATTTCCTTACTTTTTACCAACCTGGGATTCTTTTAGCACTGCAGATTCCATAGCCTAGAAGCATTGTGATGAAAGAGAATTGGTGGCTTCAATAGAAATGGTGGTATGGGTTTTGTATTGGCACTTCATGATGTGTTCAACTATTACCTGAAGATGAAGTAGAGTGTGTATTCCAAGTACTCCCTCCGTATCTCCTAATGATCAAAATCTTTTGGTTGAAGACTTGAACTTTACATTTGATGCCATTATTCATGAGAGATGCTAATGGGATATGGTGGGAGATATAGCCTGTAAAAAAGATAAGAAACAAAAAGAGAGCATCTTTAGGCCATGTTTGGTACATTGGAAAAGAGAAGAAAAGAAAAGAAAAGAAAGTATAAGATTAGTCGAAGAAAAACAAAAAAAGAAAAGAAAAAAAGGAGAAGATGTTGCTAACCACTTATAATAAAGGAAAAGAAAGAACATGATAGTAAATAAAAGTATTTTAATGCCATAAATTTTGTCTTTTATAAAAATTAGGATAAATTTGGTATTAACAAAATTTCATTAAATATGCTAGTCTTCCCTTTCATTTCATTTCTTTTCATTTCTGGACAGATAAGAAAACCAACACATCAGGATAATTGGTATCCCTAAGAATCCATCAAACATAATATTTCATTTCCTGGAACCGTCTCTTGGTTACTTTTTAGTTGTTATTTGGTTAGTCTAAACTTAAAACATTTTTATATATATTTTTTCAAGGCAAGAAGTATTAGAAGTTAAATTAGTAGATGCATAGAGGTAAAGTCTGACACTTCAAAGTTCACCGAAGACAATAGGCCAGTACTTCAAAGTTTACCAAAGGTATTAACCCACTGGGCTATCGAGGCATTTACATCTTCAATGTTTGGTTAAAAATATAAAATCATTTATACATATATATATATATATATATATATATGCATTCCTAGTATTTTTTTTCTCCTTTTCTCCTATAAGCATCTGATCAGAAGATGCTAACAAACAGTTTGCCCATCCTGGAAGTCCTTTACTTAAAGCTTGTTTGATAAACGAGCCAAGTTTCAACTAGTGAACATGACTCATTTATTTGGGTATTCTTAATTTTAGGTTAGGTAAATATTTTTACACACACAAATGTTTACCATGGGACAAGAATCTCCCGACTCTCCTTTGAAGGAGGAGGGGTATACCGGGAGTGATGAATTATTTATTAGGTATTTTTTAAAGTTATGACTCATTTATTAGGGATTGTTCGAATTTAGAGTTGACAATAAATTTTTTTTTTTCATTAACAAGAAAAACAAATTATATTCACTCATGCACACTTTTTGATAACACTGGGTTTCAAACTCCTCCAAATATGAAGTTGTTACATCCTATTCAGTAATTTCCCAAGGTCAGGCCGGATTGGCGGGTGGGCCTGATACAACACCATAAAAGCCAATCCATGTTCGACCAGAAGTTGCCTACCCTAGCCCAAATTGACACACACACATACACTGATACACACTTATTGACAAAGTGAAAAGGCACGTATATATTACAAGCATGAATCACAATTAATTTAAAACAATTGATGGAAAGATTTTATTTTAATTTTTCAAAATTTTTTTTTATGTAGATAATAATTGGGTTCAAGCCGCATTCCGAACCCAATTCATACCCATTTTCTTGACCCATTATCATATATTTATAATGAGTTTAATTTAATTTGGGTTAGATGTCATAACTTAAGTCTTATAAAGCAAGAGCGATAAAATTTAAATCATACAAAATCGAATAGAGAGTTAGAGTGTGCTCGAAACATTATACCAATTTGAGAAAAATTATACTACTTAACTTGTAACTAATTCAAATTTATTCCCAAATCCTCAAACACGTCTAATAATCTTTACATTATCATCTTTCTAAATAGAAGATAGAAACTTTTAAGTTTGGAGGCAAAGTGTGTGTCAAAAAATTTTGCCCTTATTTATTTTTTTTTATAAGAAGAATACTTTGTACCATTAAAATCTCGGAAACAAATCAGATCAAAATGAGTGGTTTGTGGTGGCTTCAGCCAAACACAACACAAGAAGTCAACGCTGACTAGACTGGACTAGACTACAATATAGCAGTATCATAGAAATTTCCACTACAATGAAATGTAAAGCAAAAAGCAAGACAAAATTTTGCCGGCTTTAACTCTACAAGAATTCTTCAACTCAAGAAGCTTTTGCCATTCTTCTCTGTACGGATCGATCAATTTCAATTTTTAGGGCCAAACTGTTCTCTGAAATACACTCACTCTGTGTATTCCACTCTCAGGTAATTTAACCCATGCCCTTTCATTCCTTTACTGATAGACTGATCATCTGATATATATATATATATATATATATATATATATATACTGTTTTCTGAAATACACTCTCACTCTGTTATTTCTTAGTCAAAATGTTTCATTGGCATGATTGGTTGGTATGATCCTTTGGAGTTAATACAACTACTTAATTAAAATCGCATGATGATTCCAGAGCAACTAACTGTCCTTAGTTAATTTTTTTTAATATGTCATGGTTGCATGGGGATGTCAGATTCTTGAGACCATAAAACTTGAATTTTATTGGGGTTTTTATTTTTTATTTATATTTATATATATATTTTTTGGCTTAAATGATATTCCATGAGTGTGTGTCCTATTTATAGAAAAGAGAGGGAAGATCTTTGGCTTTCATCAATGGTTATTCTATTTCACTAGGTTGTTACTTTCATATTATTCATCTTGTTTTCCCTTATAAATTTTTATGTGCCTGGTTTATTCAATTCCGTTTAATCATGTTAATTTTTTCATGTTAATGTACCCTTTCAAGAATTCCTCTTTTTTCTGTTTAAATGATTATGACGTTGTTTGGCACAAATATATTTTAATCTTCTGATAATTAATCGAGGATGTTTTATGGTTATTTTCTAAAACTTCTAGATTTTAAAGCATCAAAGACATATATGGCTTAAATTTGCTTTAGTGACACTTGGATTAAGATTTAAGGGTATGTTTTCACATAGGACTATAGTTAATGTGAATCTAAACTTTAGGAGTGTGGAAATGAGGGGATAGTGAAAACTGGCGTTGTGGAGATTTCGGATCGTGACTGTTTTGCAATCTTAAATTAGTCATTACTAAGGGAAGGGCGGAATAGAACATGACTTTTTATTCCAAGAACTAGAGGTTGGTATCATAAGCAAGTTTTGCTTTTGGAATGTTGCTTAATTGGCATGGAGATAACCCAAGTGTGTATTTGGAACACTTGTAAACAAGTGGCCGTTACCATCTTTTGTGTACTTTGTTGACCACTTCTCTGATACTAACAGTTGGGAAGTACATCATCTGACATCCGTTGTCTATAATTCCATAAAGCTAGATATGTCTGATATTATAGTAATTGGGATGCCTAATATTCCCATAGTTTTTAGCTTTTTGTGTGTAATGAATCAACAGTAATAAAGAGTACTTTCATCTAGTTGCTTTTTAGCATTGGATTGTGGTTGGAAGTCACATTTGTGATTTTTTTTTTTCAGATAGTAAGTAATACATAATTGATTTATAAATAAATAAGATATAGCATCCAATTCATAACATTGTTTGAAATATTAATACAAATGAAACCACGCATTAGTATGTTTACACATAATTATGTAGATCTACAATTACAATGCTTCTTAAACAAGCTAACATTACAAAATCAAACTCAAACAACATCATGCTAAAAGAAACAAAGAGAACATGAAAAAATGCCCTTGTTTTGTGAAAAAACACAAATCTTGATGCTTACAGGGTTTAATTTTTTCACTTTTTGATGCTCAAATCTTGGTAGGAGAGTGAAAGAGTATGTCATTCTCTTGTATGTTTCGCGGAGCAGAGATGGCGTTCTCTGGGGCCAAATGAAGTCATGTGATTAGCTCGAATGGATCCAAACTTTTGTCCGACTCTTTGAACCTTGAATTGGGCTGCTAGCTACTAATTAGCAAAATTAGATTTTTCCTTTCAAATATATTGACGACTCCATGGTTCCATGAAGAAGAATGTTTATAGCATCATCGGGAGGCAACTTTAATGTCTTCAAGTTTCGGTTTGCTGATACTTTCCAAGTTTGGGCCTACGTTGTTAATATTTCCACTTAGATGCATTAATAATTCTGAATTCACAATTGTTGTGTGATGTCCAGGTTCTAGTTCTGTCTCTGCAGGGGACAACCCTATGTTCCTTGGTGTTATTCTGATCCTGGATTTGACATAAAGCCTATGATATTTCCTAGTAGAAAAATTATGTATATATGCATATGGAGGCTTATTCAAATAACTTCCTCTATACTTTGTAGATTTAGATTTTTTTATGAATCCATCTCCAAAAATAAGCATTGAGGTGTGCATGACACTTCATGTCCTCCTCCTGCAAAGAGCTCCTTATCCTGATTCCTCCATACTCTGTGCTGCTTAAGAATGTGTCCATTTCTCCTTCATTTGTCTCTGGTTTTTTATTTCCCCAAAAAGAGAATGTTGGCCTTGTACTAATAAATAAGGTAGCAAAATAAAAAGAAACTTCTTATATGTGAAATTTAAGCCTAAAAAAAAATGAAATAGCACATTTTTTAATAGGAATTAATAATGAGACCAATCTATTATCTTAGATGTTGAGATCTATATACTATTAAAAAAAATAGAAATTGAAAAACTTCATATATGGTGTAAAAAATTTAAAAACACTAGAAACCATGGTGGTTCAGGAAATTATATATGCAAAACTGTGGTCATTCCGCAGACATAACTAGCAATTTATGATCCTCACTACTTTACATAATACACATACATTACTTTATTATTTTTCCTTTGTTATCATCTTGCTATTTGAAATTTATATTTTGTCTTTTGCGTTTCATATCCTAGTAATAACAATCATTTGTGTACATTTTCTCACTTTTAATTTATTCATGGTTACCAGAGACTCCTTACGAAGGCATGATGAGTAAGTTGATGGCAGACAAGAGCTCAAGGTTAGCAAGGTTGGTAGAAGAAAGAGCATTGTCAAAAATGGAGGAGAAAAAGAAGCAACAAGAGAATCTTGTACCCTATATTCCACCCTATCTTCCAAAAGAATGTATCTACAGTATCCTTGTGCAACTACCTCCTGAAGCTCTTCAAAGGTTGAGGTTTGTTTGTAAACCATGGTATAAGATGGTTAACAGCTCTATTTTCATTGATGACCACCTCCGTCGCGCTGAAACTGTTTTCATCTTTCTAACTAGAGCTGTAAAAGGAAATCTTTGCCCTTATTCTATGCCTACAATCCCTCAAGAAAAATCGAACACTTTCTCTGTTGAAGAAAACCTTTTTCAATCACAATCCCTACCTCTATTTCAGCGACCACAGAGACAGCCGATGTTGGAGTTCTACATTCAATTCATGGAAATAAAAAATGGCAAGAGCAAGATACGAGAGTTTAATGTGACTTGTTTGGGAAAAATTAGAGCTACTTGCAATGGTTTAATTCTGCTTGATAACAAAATGAACAAAGGAGGGTTGATTGTCCTGAATCCTGTGACTAAGAAGCTGATTGCACTTCCTTTAGGTACTATATATCCTCCACACAGTGAATCTTTTGGGTTAGTATTATGCAATTATACAAGTGAATATAAATTGATACACTTATTTGAGGATGAAATGCGGTACATTGGTTGTGAAATTTTAATTCTTGGGACAAGATCATGGAGGATGGTGGATGGACCTCCTTTTGGACTTTTTAGTTGGTTAGGGTGCAACCCAATTTCTGCAATTGGAGCTTTGCATTGGATTCCTGACATTGATCGAAGTGATTACCTAGTATCTATGTCAACGGACGATGAAAAATTCCACAAGACACCTCTCCCGAAAAGTTGTAGAAGTTACGATGGGATTGTTGAAATGGGCGGGCTTCTTTCTTTTATGACTCATGAAGAAACAGGTCAAATTGATATTTGGATCTTGAGGGGTTTAAATGGGGAAGATTGGATAAAGCAACATAGTATTACTGTTGGTTGCTCAATGGAAATGATTCCTCTTTATTGTTCAAGAGTTAAGGGTGAAGTAATTTTCAAGGACAAAGATGGCTCTATGTATGCTTATGATTTCGAACATATGAAAAAGGTTGACATCGAAAAGGGGTTTCCGATCAATGGCTGCTACCTGCCTCACGTCAACAGCCTTGTGTCATGGCAGATTGAGGACAAAGATCTGGATGTGGGTTACTAGTGCATCTTTTCCTTGAGTATTGGTAAAAACAAACCTTTCATTTAGTGTTGGACCTCTTTTTCCATGTAAGTACCGACTTCTTTGTCTTTTAATAATGCGTTTATAGTGTGTGTTTACTTGTGTATTTGTAACTAGTGAACTGCTTATGACATTTTATTGTTTACTATTTCTGTACTCCATTGTTGTACCATGTTTGCCCTAAGTTGTGTTCGTTTTGAAGTAATGCGTGGTCACATTGGAATGCTTGCAATGATCTCATTAGTAGCAACTAAAGAAAAATAAGAAGGAAATAAGAATATTATTCAAGCATTAAATACAAGCCCATCTTCATTGGTCAATGTAAGGCTTAATACACCATGTGCATGTATGTCTGTTTCAATGCATCATTTCTTGTGCTGGTGAAACACTTGTATCAGTTAAATAGAGATCTATAAACATCAATTGTCTTTTCATTAGGGCCCTCAAAATTGGGGGCTTTTTTACTGCTTAAATTTTATTATGACACAAAATTTACATTACTCTCAACATCATCAACAGCAGAAAAATTTCTCGAATAAATAGCATGATAAAATAGAACCAGTCCACCCCTTTTTACCAGTTCTTATTACCAACTTGCTCAACTCTAGCTTCTTCATGCGTGTCTGTATATATATATAACAAATACATATAAAGGTAACAGCAATAAATGATGACAGAGCGTCATAAAGAGTATTCTGCTTTTGCGATGTCATTGTAATATGCAAATTTTGCCCACTTGTTCTGCTAAGATCAATATTTTTGTGGAGTACGATTTGTGGAAATAAATACAAATACCAAGACGTTAAGGACAATATAACCTATTGGTTTTGAGTTTTTAGAATGTCAAGAAAATTTTGGATCTTCGTGAAATTTTTGGAGATTCGATGATGGATCCATGTCAAATTATTGCTAAGTTTAGTTTCCCCTTCACTTCCGTAGTTCTACCTACCTTTTTCTGCTTATATTTAGATGAGTGGATGGTATTTATCCTCCTCTTCACTTGTCTACACGCAAATGTTTTCTTATTCAAAAATTATCTGGTGAGAATATTTTGGAGTTCTAGAGAGTTTGTTTGAAGTTTTTTTTTTAATCTGCCTTTGTATATCATATGTAGGAAAAGGATGAACCTGAGGAGTTGGAGAAAAATGGTGTTAATCGAAGATGAGGAAAGATGCGAAAGAATTGATAAACATAATACAGAAAACATTCAGGAAAAAAAAAAAAAAACATAATACAGAAAACTTGAAATGAAAAAAGATATGTGTTTTGGTTAAGAAGTCCTACTGTCAAAACTAGTCAATGTGAAACCTCCAAGAACAAAGCATAGAAATGATACCCGATTTATGTTATTGCTGTGGAGAAATTAGGCATGTCAAGAAGGAATCTCTCTGGTAGAGTCAGCAGACATGCATTTATGTTCATATTGGTCTTTGACAAAAGTTTTACGTATATTGTCAAGCTACCTAATGCAACCCTCCTTACTAAATGTGACATAGGTGCAGTTAGTCAGTACACATGGATATAATGGAGAAATTAGGCAATATCAAGAAGCAAAACCCCTCTGGCGGACATGAAAATATCAAAAGGGTAGACAAGTCAGATGGTATACTAGTTGAAAGAAAGCAAGGACACTTTTTAGAAAATAAAGCAGTTTGCTGCAAATTGGAATTAGAAACCTCTTAGGGTTTGGTAATAGAGGAAGTTTGAGAGGACTCAGCTCGTGTGAAGGTATTCCAGCATGCATCTAGTCAAAGGTCATGGAGGATTAAAATCGTCTCAAGGGTATGCTTTAGCAAGTAGGTGTTCATTTTATGTAAAATGATAACTGCCATGCCGAAATGAATATTAGAGAACAGTAAATATTAGGCAATGCCATGAGAGGAGACTAGAAGACTAGGGGACTGGTATACATATGATGGCATAAATGTTCCTTGGGACTTGTTTTGCTGTAGTTTGTATCAGTATGTTGGAAGAACAGCCTATAGTTGTACTAGCAGAGGAGATCTGGTGCTAGATGTGGAAGGCAAAGAAGAGACTCCTTAAGCATTTGAGATGGTGTAGGCTAAAGATGCTGGATGTGAGCCAGTCATCTCAGAAAATGGATATACTCTGGTTTAGGATCCAATTGTCAAAAGATAGGAGTGGAAGAACTTATTTCACCAGACGTGAATTTTTTTGGAGATGTGCAAAAGCAACTTAAAAAGAAAATTAGCAGTTGAAGCAGGTTCAAAATGAGAATCAACTTTTTGGCCTTCAAGAGTAAGAAAACAATGTGGTTTTGAAAGGTGAACAACCTGCTGGAGGAAAATGAGAATTTCTAGAAACATTCCAGAATTGGATTGACTTGAAGCAGAATCCAAGAATGTAACTCTTTTTTCATGCCAGACTTACTTGTTCAAAACCAATCTCAAACAACGTTTTTCAAGCAAGTCAATTCTGAACCCTTGGCTAAACTTGTTAGTCTTACAGATATTCGTGAACATTACTTGTTTTTTCAGTTCTAGTTTTGCTTGAAACTAGTTCTCTTCTTCCAAATGTTCAAGTGTAAGCTTGATCTTCGCTAAACAGATGAGGTCAACCACTTTTACCTAGGGTCAACTTGAGTTAAAACCAACCTCAATTATCTGTTTGAATCATACTGGAACAACTAGATGCTCAGCTTCACTCAACTCAATCGCAGTCCTAAGCAGTGCTGAGAAATAAAAAAACCATTAGGTCAAGCACCATAGATGTAAACAGAATTTTATCTATTCACTTAAATTAGAGGGAGAGAGAGCTAGATGATCGAGGAATCACAGCGAAATAATATTGAGTACTACAAAGTAGATCATGGTTAAAAATGCCACTTGCCTAGCAAACAAAAGATTTGAAAGCTCATTTAAATGCTGCAGAAGCAGGTTTTGGGTAGTATGGAGAAAAGATATTGAGGAGCTGTTCAATTGTAGTGTATTTCAAGTCTGAGTATAGCAACATAAAAGGAGTATGACCTTTTAGAAGGGCCACTGGTGAGGAGGAACTCTCTTCCCACCCCCAATGAACTTTCCAAATTGGTCATGCTCCTATATACTTTGTACTGGTGTACCTGGATTACGAGGAGAGAGTTCCTCACCACTGGTGTGGAGGCAAGTACTGTCCCCTCTCTCTTTCTCTCCCAATTGCATCTTTCTACATCCTCATGGTCTGTCATGTACTTTCTGGTTTAAGCAGGTTGTGTTGAGACATTACTATAGGGTAAGTTCTATGTTCGTGTACCATCAATACCTGGACATTATGAGCTCTTGTGATCTCATTTTGAGCCAAGAAGCTCTTCGAATTGAAAGGAGTGCTAATTTTCCAGAGCCTGATATTGCTTTAATTCAGCTTAGACAAGATTATCATGTGCTATTGTTTCGATCAAGAGTGGTTAAAGAAAGATAGTTCAGTTTCATGGCAACAACATCATGTTTAGCACTGCAGATCCCAATGACTAGAATTATTGTGATCAAAGAGAAGTGGAGGCATCAATAGAAATGATGATATGGATTTTGTATTGGCAATTTATCAAGTGTTGGACTATTTGTTGAAGGTGAAGTATAGTATTTGTACTCCAACAACTCCTGCCATATCTCCCAGTGATCAAAATCTTTTTTTTTTTTTTTTTTTTGATTGAATTAGCAAAGGCTTGTTTGAATTCTGCATTTGATGCCATTCTTCTTGAGAGATGCTAAAGGGGATATGGTGGGGAGATATTAGATATGGCCTGCAAAAGAATCATCTTTAATGGTTGGAAGTTGGAACCTTCTCTTTGTGAATGGTTTAGTTACATTTTTTTTTTAAACATAGATTAATTAATTAAAAAAAAACTCTCCAAAGGGATAGCCTAATGGCAAAACTCTTACCTCACTATCCGGAAGTAGGTAATCATCTTGAGGCCACCCCAGAAAAATTAGAGATATTTTACGCTTTTTAAGTAAAAGACTTAAAAATTTTGGAAGCCTTTGGTTATTTTTAAAAGCAAATCAAATTTGCTTTTGTCGTTCGACTGCCATATACATTCCAGCACTCAAGCTCACCGGACAAATGTAGTTTTTCATTCCATATGCACTGGTTAGTTACACAGAAATTTTCTTGAGGATGGGATTTGAACCTCGACCTTCAAGTTATGAGCGGTCTTCGCTGTTAGACTATACCCCTTGGGTTTGACAATCGATGAATCGCTATTAGGTTATACTGTTTGGGTAGGGCTGCAAATGAATCGAACCGAGCTTGGGTCTACTTGGGCTCGGCTCGCGATGAGTTCAAAAACTTGAGCTTATGTTCAGGCTCGTCTAATAAAAATAATTAAAAAAAAAAAAAAAACTTCTTCTCAAAATTAATTAGTATTTCACAAATATATATATATATATATATATATATATATATATATATATATATATATATTACGAAAGGTAAACTTGAATTATAAATATAAAAATAATGTACATCAAGCTCATAACATAAACAAGTCCAAATTAAATGATATAGCCCAAATAAGGCACCCTAGTGATGCTTTCAGCTTCAATTAGCAAAACCCAACCTATAAACCCAAAAACAAAGCTGAAAGTCACATGTATTCTCAAAGTCACTATCTTGAATCATCTTTACTTTTTACATTTAAATATATATATAGATATAAAACAAATCCGAACCTATGTTCGCTAGTTCATACGAGCCAAGCCCAATGTTGTTAGGGCTTAGCTCGTTTATTAAAAGAGTTTGGAAATTGGGTTCGGGTTCGGCTTATTTACTAAACAAGCCCGACCTGAGACCGAACTGTTTATGAATAACTTGGTTCGTTTGCAGTCCTACCCTTCAGTTGACAACCATGAAGGGGAAAGGATATTTCATGTTATGGAAAGAAAAAAAAGAGAGCACGCATCCCTGGTGGAATAAGTACAATTTTGCACTTTATAAATTATCATGTTTTGAAGAGTTGATAAGATATCTTGATAATTATGTACAAGTGTTCTGTTTTAAAAAGTCTTTTTACTTCTGTAATTATTTTTTATCAATAAGAGTGTGAAGGAATGACATAATAATAATAATTTTAGAATCTTTTGAAATTCTTAATTTGATTTTAGTATAGTGTAATTTATGCCTAATATGATTTTTTCACATCTTGTTCAGTAATTTTCAAAGACCAGATCGAATTGGATCATGGACTTGACACATCTAGGCAATCCATATTCAAATCGAAATTGCCAATCCTAGCCCAAATTGACACCCAAATACATGTAGATTAATAAAAAAAAATACACATATATATGAATCAGTTTTTTTTTAAAAAAGGTCAGATTAAAAAAAAAAAAAAAAAGGACAAAGGCACAAGGGTCTCCGCAATGCAGGGTTTGAAAATAGTTTGATTTATGCAATCTTACCGTCCTATACTAACTCGTGACCTACCTAATTGAAACCCTTCAACCCGTCGAGTTTTACTTACGAGTGAAAATTGGACGGATCATCTCAAACCCAACCCAAGTTCAACTCATTTTTTCAAGAATTTGGGCAACCATTTTTACAATTGGAATTGGAATTGGACTTGAATTGAGGTGCTAGCAACCCAAGCCCCGCAACTCAAATTCTAATATTATATATGTGTATATATATATTTAAAATCAATAGCATCACCAACTCAATACCAACATTTAGACTCACCAAATAACTACTCCAAATAAACCCATTAACAAAGAGACAGTTCCAGCTACCATATTGCAAAGTGCACACTAGCCTTTCTTTATTCAATCAAAAGATTTTGAACATTGGGAAATATAGCGGGAGTACTTGGAATACAAATATACTCACCTTTATTTTAAAGTAACAGTTGAACAACACATCATGAAAGTGCCAATATATATATATATGTATATATATATAATTCATACCATTATCTCTATTGATGCCTCCAGTTCTCTTTTGATCACAATGCTTCTAGCATATGGAATCCGGAGTGCTAAAAGAAGCCCACAGGGGACTTAAAGAAGAGAATAAGCCCAGGTTGGTAAAAAGTAAGGAAATAATGCCTTACAAATGTCCAACGGCTGTTTTGGCAATCTACTTTCTCCTAACATGATCTCGTTGCCATGAAGCTGAACTCTCTTTAAACAACCACTATCGAGACAATATTGGAAGATCATCTTGTCTAGCCGAATAAAAACAATATCGGGATTCAGTGGATGCAAGGCCGCTAGCTCTGGGACATTAGCATTCCTTTCATTTCGAAGAGCTTCTTGATTCAAAATGAGATCACAAGAGCTCATAATGTCCGGGTATTGATGGCGCATCAACATAAAACTGACCGTGTGTCTCAAAATCCACTTGGATGCACCAATGCCATCACGAACCCAAATAACAATTTTGAAGGTATCACTAGTCACATACTGGAGTAGCCCATCCTTGGACTTGCCCAAAACAAAGGAGCGCTCGATTGTGACACTGTTTCGTTCTGGCAATTGAATAACTTCTACAATGTTAACAACCAGTTCTTGACTACTTTTAGAATCATAGGCTACAACACGATGGAGGCGCTCCCACCAGTAGTATACCCCATCAATTACCACAGCATACTCTAAAGGTCTAAACAAAAGACATCCCGTTGTTGCTAAGAGTGTATATTCCACCCAGATTTTATTTTCTGAAGAAAAAACCTCCATTTCCAGGGTGTTAACAAGAAATGATGATAACTTAATGCACACCACCTTGAACTTGAATTTTTCCAATTTGCAATCCTGGTCAGAAATTCCTTCAACGTCAAATCCAATTGCATTGTTGAGATGGTCGCCTGAGTGAGGAAGGGAAAGCCATTCCCTCGTGATAGGATTGCATATGCGGTAAACCCTAAAAGAGTGGTTATAGTAGAGCAACAAGCCATTGGAAGAACCAATCAATAAATCACCATACAAATTGAGACAAACAAATCCATTATTAGACAACTGTGGACTGGTAGGCATGAATGAATTCTGTTTTACTGATTGGAAGAAGCCTAACAGAGCGGAAAGAGAATCATCCTGTTCGTTCCTCTGAGATTGATAGCGCTGTCGAAAACAAGGACTTGAAATAATCCGATACCACCTTTTTGAAACGCTCTTTAAAGCAAATAAAGTTTTCAATGGTAGTCGTAGTAGGATCTCAATCAAAAGGTCATCAATAAAAAGACCGCCATTGACCTTCTCCATCTCTCTCTCAATGCAACCTGCTCAAACACCACAAAGTACCTGACAAACCTTGAGGATGCAGAAAGATGCAATTGTGTGTGTGTGTGTGTGTGTGAGAGAGAGAGAGAGAGAGAGTACTTGCCGCCTCATTTGTGAGGAGGAACTCTCTCCCAACCAGTAATTGGTCCAATAATACATCTTTAATTATAAAATAAAGAAATTAACAAAAGAAAGGAAATGAAGCGAGATAACCAATTTTTTCCAGTCATGGGTGTAGGTAATTCGAAACTCACAAGTCAACACATTTCAAGCGTCAAGGGAATCATGATATTCCTTTTGCAAGAATACATGAAGAAAAATAAAGGGGCAAGAGAGAGGGCACTGATAAGACCTCAAACCAGCTCTTTGTCGCTTTAAAATCAGACCATGATTATCTATCAGTTCTTTCATCCCATACTCGGAATGTATATAACTACATATTATAAAAATGAATATTGCAGAAAATAACAGCAGAGTAAGTTTAGTTCAAGATAATGCGTCTGTTCGCCCCACAACCACCGGGTAATATACATAGTCCAGTGTGCCCGTTGCGAGTTGTTCTTGACAGTGAGGATCGATGGAGTTCATATACCCTATGGGAACAAAAATGTTTGAAGCAGTGAAAGAGGGCAATATTGGACTTGTTGCGGCTGTATTCCCTTTCATTTTTTATTTACATACAAGGAAAAGGGTCTTGTAGTAATCAAGATATGATTTAATAATATAATGATACGCATAACAAATTTGAAATATGATGTTATTCCTAAGCTACTTTAATGATGTTTTGTTGTGTGTGGAATTTATCTTCATCTAAAAGTTAGTTTTTTGAGTTATTTGCTTCAAACATCATTTTTGTTCAAATCTTGAAAACTTTTATTGTTCTTGGAATTTTGAAAGTCAAACTAAACTTTGACTATTTCACCCAGGAAAAAAAAAAAAAAAAACTAAGTATTTCCTTTTTGATGTTTTTAAAGAGCCACTTGAAAATCTCAATGAAAGCAAAACTAATGTGATTTATTAAATCTGGTATATTATGATAATAGTACATTATTAAACAAAAATAAAGTAGTTTAACAAATCAAGTCTACTATCATAATGGAAAATCAGTGCTAGAAAACTAAGGTTTCATAAGTGAGGATGCTTCTTTGGAACAAAGATAAAAATGTAACTTCTATAAAACACAAAGTGAGCAATCGGCTTTTGGAACCCGCTGCAAACCCATCCAAGCAAATTTAGCATCTATCTACCACTACAATAACTTAATTATGTGTAGTGCATGAATTTTTGTGTATGATTCTTTACATCTTTTTAGTAACAGTGAAATGCCTCCACCATGACTACTTAATATTAGTACAGCTCCCATTTTAGTAACTTTTACAAATGCTATGTTGGATAGGGATCTACATGCTAAAGCAAATCATCACAGTAGTTATATTTTCCCAAAATTATGAAACAAGATAAGATTTCAGAAGCTTGATTTGCTTTAACTGGTTTCAAAATTTCAAGTTGGGATTGCTGGATTTTGTTGTTGGGTTTGTTTAGGTTCAGTGGGTTATGCCCGGTCTTCCAAAGGCTTGGTTGAGGCTGGGAGAGGTTGTATAGTGGGGGCCCAAGTCCGTGATTTCTAAAGGGTTATGCCTTTATGCATTTGGTGGTGTTTGTAAATTTTTTGGGTTCGTTGAGGGTTTAGAGGCCCTATTTGACCTTGTGTAGCTTTTGAGGGATGCGTTCCCCTTTTCAACGCTTTATATATATATATATATATATATAAATAGAAGTTGGGAAGTTTCACATATTTATTTACAATGGTCACTACATTTTCATCACATTGTTAGAGCTCAAACAACTAAATGTTTTTGGTACATTACAATGATATGTAGAACAATGCATCAAAAACCAATGAAGATTTACATTATCTACAGCAATATTTCACACTTTGTATCTTTAAATAGTTTGGACAGTGTAGAGAACAATGACAAATGTACCATTTAGATATATGGCAAGATCTCTTACGTGCCGAACATCATCAAATATTGGATCAGTGAAGATTTTAGTCTCCAGTTTTCCCTCCAAATACATAATTGAACAGCAATTTAGCACAGCACCAAAATCCTATCAAGAACAGAGCCAAACTTGGTTATCGTTCAGGTACAATCGAGGAAAAAATATGTGGAAAGGAGCACCACCATCAAAACCAAATAAAACAATATAATAAATGAAAACCATATCATGATCAAACCAAGTCAAATGAGAAAATGAAAAATCCAACCACGATCAAAGCCAAATTAAAAAATAGAATAGGAAAACAGCATTAAGAAAATTAAATCTTCATGACTTTTTAGAAATTTTATTAGATAGCAAATGTCTTTATAAAAAGGTTGAGAGAGACCAAAGGAACTAATTCAAAAGCAATAGATAAGAAACAATGTCTCTCTCAACCCACAACTCCACAAGCAAGGCCCGACTACAAATGTGCATACTTGTCAATTAAGTAATAAAATTTGGCCATAAACCGAGCATACACAAAAACCTTGAGAACTCCCTTTATTGAGATTTCAAAGAGAATTGACCGTAAAGGGAGCACACAAAAACCTTGAGAATTCCATTCAGATTAAAGAGCTGTAACTATTGAGATTTTCAAGAGTTCATCATCATAATATATTGAGATTTATAACTTCTTCTTTTTTTCTTTTTCTTTTTTTGTGTCAGCATATGATTAGGCCAGATCACCCATCAGGAAATAATTCAGGCAAGTATTATCCAAGAAAAATGACCAAAATAAGTTGCCACTTAAAATTTACAAAAAAAGAAAAAAAGAAAAAAAGAAGAAGAAGAAGAAGCTGTCAATGTTAAACAAATTATAAGCCATATCGCATGCCAACAGAGACCCACACAGTTTACGGGACAAAGAGAAAGGGGGAAATAAAAGAAGAAGAAGAAGAAGAAAGGAACAACCTCACAAATCAAGGCTTGAAAAATTTAAGTGATATAATCAAGGAGAATAAGTGCTATGCTAAATGAGTTTGTGAGTACATGTAGGATGACATTTTATTTGTAAAATTAACGTGCATGTACACACCTATGAATTTTCAGGAGGACCTGTAGTGAAGATTAAACTTCAAAAAAAAATTCCGACATGTTTCAATCTTTTACATTCTTAAATATCTCAAAACCCAGTACTAAAACTGTTACAGCTTGGATGGTAGTTGCTTTTTTACTTCAAAACAAGTTTTTGCTTTTAGGAGAGACATTCCACTTCCCTTTTATTTAGCAATATGGATAAATAAGATTAGTACTCCATCCTAAAGTACAAGGTGATTCTTTGTTTTTTTTTTTTTTTAATTAATTATTTTATTTTTTTCGTGGCTCACAAGAGAGTCTATACTATTAAGGTGCTCCAGACAAGAAGGTCTACCAGGTCTCTTTGGTCTGGATATGTTCTTATTATTATTAAAAACAAAAAGAGTATTGAGGGTCATCTTCAATCATAGCTATTTTTCCTAGAGTTTCAGTACATTATTGTATTTATTAAAGTGTTTTAGTATATTATTTTTTAATAATAAATTTATATGTTTCTTTTTACAATTCAATTTATATGTACGTTTCCTTTTAGAATAACACAAATTACCTATTTATTATGAGTTTTTATTTTAAAATTAATATAAGGTGTTTAGAGGAGTTTCTATAAAACTCAAATTACCTATTTATTATAAGTTTTTCTAACAAAAAGAAATCTAATTAGATAAGGAAATATATAAGGAAAATAAATAATTTAGTCTTTCTAATTAGACAAGAAAATATATAAAGGAAATATATAAAATAAATAAATAATTTTCTCTATTTAGTCTCCACATCTTTTCTAATTTTTTTAAAATATATATAAATAATTTTATAATATAGAAATAAATAAAATATTAGTATATTGTAATAAAAAATAGTCTTGATTTTGATATTGTTTTAGGAGTTTGAAAATACACCTATCAATAATTGAATTCCTATTGTAAAGTTCAATTAAAAATTATTATTTTTATCTCAGTGTCAATTTTATGTTCATGGATATTTTAGAATTTACAATTATTTAATTACTTTGTTAAATATTAATTTTAAATTAGATTTTACTCACAGTTTTACTAGTCTGTATATATATATATATATATATAAAGAACTGACTCTATCAACATATGAACATTACCAATTAAAGAAGAGAATTGAAAATTCTCTTAAAAAACAGGCATGATCGGCAATTGTATTGCTTAAAATACTTGTAATATCACTAATGCTTCGAAAAATGTCGAGAAAACATCAAGGTGTTGCATAACCAATAAAGATACTATAAAAACACACACAAACACCTACAGTGTAAAGGGAGAAAAAAAACAAAAAACAAAATACAAAATTACAAGATGAGAGGATTATAACACTTGTTAATTCAAAATAGCATCAATCCAACTATACAACATAGTTTTTTCTTGCTCGCCCCAGAAAAGAAGCACAACGCATGACTAACAAAAAAAAAAATACAATAAAAAATAAAAAAATAAAAAATAAAAAAGAAGAAGAGAAAGGTTTAATGCCTAAATCAATATAGCATACACATGGGGGCATAAAAGCAAATTGAGAGAAAACCCTAGTAATAGATTATAGCAGTGACTAAGAAACATCAGAAAATTATTAAGAAAGAGAAGAAGCAAATGGTAGAGTAGATAGCAACTGACCTGAGTCTCTGAACCTGGTCAAGGATAATAGGAATTTAACAAGAATGCGGAGCTTTATATATAGAGGACCAGTCTTGCTCTTGGGCCGGGTTTGGGACCGGTCCACACTTTTATCCCAGTACATAGTACAAAACAACCCTTGATTTATAGAAAATTTAATAATTCGATGCAGAAAAATAATTAATGTTGTGTTGGGCAGCAAATTATTCTCGCACCGAATTGTAAAAAATTGGTAGACTTACTCTTTTAATTGATAAATTATCTAATAAATAAGGAAGTAAAACTCTTTGTATTTAGTATAAATAGTTAATTAAAAATTATTGGGTTAAATAATTCACTGCAAGTGTTGGTGTGAGTATCCCTACTCGATGGTAAATACAAATTCAGGATTAGATGTTCCCAAATATGGTATAACTATCTGCAAGCTTGATTTAATGGAACTATAATGAGTTGTGAAAATTATTATAATTTGTGATTATGTTTAACTTTCCAAATAAAATATATATGAAAACAATCACATACATAAAAATACTAAAACGATTATTTCAAAAGTCAAATATTTTCTTTTGATATCTTTCATATTTTATTAGATTCTCCTTTGATGTTCTCTCCGTAATCATTTCCATGTATGCTTACTTTCCTTTTCTATTGAAATACCAATTTTCAAATGCATGGGTGGAGACGGATTCGATGGTGGTATGCCCAGCTATAATGAATGAGGATAATTGCCCTATTGAAATTCAAGCTCTAGTTTTTGATATCAAGGCAAAGTTTCGGAGTTTTTTCTCAGTTCAGATTAACCATGTGCGTAGGCATGGTAATGAGGTCGCCCATGCAGTGGTAAAAATTTCCAAATGTCATGTTGGTGAAGATGCTGAGTTACTGTTTTTTTCTAGTCATATACAGTCAGGTTTTGAAATGATGTATCCCAAGACATATAGTAGGTTTTGTTTGCCAAAAAAAAAAAAAAAAAACCTATACCGCTATATTCATAGTCAACATAAGAGTTATGTGACCTTTAAGTTTTTGATTGATCAAAACATTGATTGAATTTCTTTGTCAAAGTTTATGAAAAACATGATCAAAACCTATTTTTGGGTAATTTAAAAAATCAAACATGGGTCATGATAATTCCTTTAGTCTCATCTCTGCCTTAACGACAACGAGACAAGTATCAAAAGATTCATTTCACGACAAGTATTAAAATATTTTAAAGGTAATTTTTTTTTTTTTAAAATGTAACTTAAAAAATAAGTAAATATAACTCAATTACATTCGAATAGAAATAACTTAGTAAGCAAACTAATAAGTTGTGCTTTAGTGATTTAACATTTATAATAGGGGCTATGGGCTTAAATAAAAGCCAATGTGATCACTTAAATGGGCCTGGACAACTTTTCAATTATTTGGATTGGGCTTAAGTTAAAAGTTTGGATCAAAAATTAATTTAATTTGGTTTCGGCTGAGGTATTCAGCAACCGAAGACCAACCCAAGGCCAAGTGCCAACCTATAGTAATATTATATATATAAAAAAGGTAATCCAAGCTCAAGAATAGATTGTTGGACTGGGCATCTAAGTAAGGCTACAAGGCTACTCACGGTTTTATGCCTTGCATTAAGCTAAACCTAACTTTGCAACCCAATTCAAAAAAATTTGGACTTGGATAATGTTATTTGAAATTCAGTCCGGGCTTGGAGTGAAAAAGAGAAACCCAAAATCATTTCGGCCTAGGTTTGGGTTCATTGTCAGGCAGCCAACCATGATGTTGCACTATGATTGTCTCACATTCGGTTTTTTTAATGTGAAGAGTAGTCATATGGGCAATCCGATTTTATAACTCAAAACATCAGAGCTGCAAATCTAAATTCAACTCAAATTTAAAATTTTAAGAATGTGTTAAACTAAGGTTAGGCAGTTCGAATTAAAAGCCGAGTTATGATTGAACATGTCACATGTCTTATAGATTATATCTTTAATCCGCTTGAATTGCAGCCTTATCGTAAGCACCTTACTTATCCGAGTTATGGTTGTTTTTGACCAAAATACCTTTATCTTTAAAAATAAGGGGACGTGTTTCCAATGAAGACTTTGTTCAACATTCATAAAATTCAATATTAAAAGTGGTTCTCAATCCAATAATCAAAAGAACAAGTCCTATGGACCGGAAAGAATTATTCATGGAATCTTGTATAGTACAATACAAAAATATTGTCACTCTCATGTTAAGAGAGAGATTTTCTTGGATTGACAATAGCATCAATTGCCCCAATTTTGATTTTCCTCACTTCATATGTCCAAGCAACCATGCTTTTGGTTGGTTTCTCAATAATAATGTCTTCTTTCTTTTTTTCTTTTTCAATCTTAAATTCCTAAATCATCCATTTATACCCTTACTAAATTATATATTTACAAAATTAAACAAAAAAAAAAAAAAGTATTTCAAGATTTTACCTTAAAAACAAGTATCAAAAAGATACATCAGTTCTTAATTTCAGGATAACTATTAAAAAAAAAAAAAAAGTATTAAAAGATTTTGAAGCTTTTTTTTTTTTTTGTTTTTTAATATAATGTTGAATAGGGAAATATAACGCAATTACAGTTTAATACAAATAACATGTAAAAAATTAATTTGAACCAAAGACCAATCCAAGCCCAGCCTATATTATTATTATTATAAATTAATGGTAATCCAAGCTCAAGTATAGATTGTTACACACACATAAAGAACTCATATGTGTATATATATATATATATATATATATATATTGAGGAGGCCCCGGATGACATGGGCCAGGTCCGACTCGCAAAACACAACCTTCAGTCCGAACAGCTGGGTCAGCCCATAGAAAGACACTGCCATATGGGCCGAGCGGGAGTAAGCCCATCAAGGGTGACCAGGGCTTACAGAGGAATAGGCCCAGGTCCAGCAATTAGTAAATATCTTGTAAATATCTTGTAAGTGTCTATAAATAGGAGTTGGAATGAAGAGGAGGGGGATCTTTTCGGGGTTGAGGTGTAAGAATTCTAGAGAGAGAAAGAATAGAAGGAGTTTCTTGCATCTTCAATTGGCGCCGTCTGTGGGAAACGCATGAAAGTTTGGTTGATTAATGAGGAGTATCGAATGGATTCAAACCAATTCGGTTGATCGAGACTCGATCTTGCGGATTTGAATCCAGATCTGAGCGATTGTGACCTACTCTGGAGGAATTACGATTCTTAAAGCTTTGGCAGGAGTGACTTCAGATCTACGCAACCACGAGTTGCTCGATTGTGGCAGGATCTGACGGATTTAGAGTTTAGACAATTCAGATCTTGTAAACAGTGAGCATAATTCGGAGAATTAGAAGCCAGATCTAAAAATTCCTACTCACGAAGCTCAGATCTACTCGCGAACTTGAGATTAATGCCTTTACTCCGTTCGGGAATAATGATAGGTGAAAGCTCCAATCCGATGGAGGCTGTCCAGCAAACAAAGCTTGAAGAGTTGATGAACTTGATTGAAGCTCTCAGAAAAGAAAATGCAGAATTGAAAGCTGGACTGCAGCATCGGCAAATACCTGCGGTTTCGCATCCACTTCCGGTCGGAGAAGGAGGTGTTCCATCTAATATCGCGCATCAAGGCGATCAGGACGAGAACAATCAGTCAGCTCACCACCGTGACGAAAGGATGATGGACAATTTGCCGCCAAATGTTCGTCGAGTTGAAGATCACGAAGGATCGACTCACGTTGATCCGCAGCGGGAAAGGTTTGACCGAGAGGAAGTGATGGAGGTTGATCGCCGTCGAGTAGCGTCGCCTTGGCAAAGAGAGTTCATAGAGGAACGGTCGTTCGATCCGTCTTACCGGCCCTCCATGGTTACTGTCACTCATCACGGTTCGGAGGGCAGAACCGTAACTCACAGAGCTACCGCTGGACTCCAGAGAGAGAATGAAGCTCTCCGATCCGCGGCTCGGACGGTGGATTCACCATTCACCGACGAGATCTTGAATGCGCCGCATCCAAGGAAGTTTGCTATGCCAGTCTTTATTCTGTTTGACGGAACGACCGATCCGATCGATCATGTGTATCATATCCAGTTGAAAATGGCCCTGAATACGGAAAACGACTCTTTAATGTGCAAATGTTTCCCTACAAGCCTGGCCGGACCGGCGCTCAGCTGGTTCAAAAACTTGCCTAGGAGCTCCATTGGCAGTTTCAGAGACCTGTGCGATCGGTTCATAAGTCAGTACTATGGGAACAAACGCCCGCCGAAGGACATCTCGAGCCTCTTCACGATGCGGCAGCACAAGGATGAACGTCTCCAGGCCTTTCTTACCAGGTTTAATCTCACTAAGAGTATGGTGATCGAATGCCACCCTTCTACGGCAGTTCAAGCCTTCAAGTTAGCCATGACACGCGGAACTCCCTTTCACACCAGTCTGGTAGTGAACACGCCGGCTACCATGGATGAACTCAATGAGAGAGCCGATGGCTTTGTGCGCCTCGAAGAAGAGGAGGCAGCTAATGCTCGGACAACGTCGCTTGTGTCGACCGAGGAGAAGTCCAAGGCAAAGATCAGGCAGAAGCAGGCTCAGCCACAACGTCAGACCACTTGGAAGGCCGAAAAAAGGTCCAGGGAGGAAGAGTTGATTACTCCGCTGAAGGTCACTCTGGCAAGGCTGTATCAGGAGAACAAGGACAAGTTTCATCCACCACTGCCAATTAGACAACCCCTCGAGCAGAGGGATCAAACTAAACATTGTGCTTTTCATTCTGATTTCGGACATCAGACTAACGAATGCAGGAACCTGAGGAGGCAAGTGGAGATGTTAATAGCTAAAGGGGAGTTTGCGAGTTATGTTCAAGGCTCGGCGATGGAGCAGAATCGACCAGTGGAACAAATAAAAAGGAGTCATAAACAAAGCTCCCACAATTCGCAACCAGTTCGTATAATCAATGTTATCCATGGTCGACCCGAGCCTAGTGAAGAGTCAGATGAGCTGCTACGGGTGCGCCTGCGGCAGGCGCAGATGAAGAAAAGGGTCGGCAATGTGTCC